CGTGAAGAATCTCAAAACAACTGAAACTTATGGTTTACCACTTAAAATCGATTTGAAGGTGGGCGCTAAGTATATGATGACAGTCAATGGTGCTTGTGGAAAATTAGTAATGATTGATTACGAAAAACTTCAAAAAACTAATGAAACAGTACCATGTAGAATATGAATTAAATTCAATGAAGAAAAAACTGGAAGAAAAGCTAGAGCCAATTTTCACAATGTAATGCGTAATAGAAATATTGATTCTAGTCTTATACCAATCGAACCAGTAATACGTCAAATAAATACTAAGTCAACAAACTTCAAAGTAGAACGGAAGCAGTTTCCAATAGTACCTTGTGAAGCTATGACCATATAAAAAAGTCAAGGGGGTATTTACGAAAAAGTCGTTGTCAATCTGAAGAAGGGGACGACAAGATCTGAATTATATGTTGCTTGTAGTCGCTCAACGAAAGCAAGTGGTTTATATTTAATTGGTGACTTCGTTCCACCAAAACCACCTGAACATAATGATTCAGTGGCGATGATGTTTAAAACCATGAGGTCCGAAAGAATGATCAAATTTTCACTTGAATTTCCTGAAGAATCTCAAGGAGAAAGATTTTTTGTGATATTCCATAATGTGCAATCATTGAATAAAAACATTTTGGATGTCAAATCTGACAAAACATTTTTGTCTGCTTCCACGATAAGTCTTGTTGAAACATGGACAAAACCTAGTGACTCTTTGGAAATTGAAGGTTTCAAGGTAGTTCACAGACGTGATTGTAATGACATACGAAAACCATTTGGTCAAATCACTTATTTAAAAAATCATTTGAAGTATGAAAGCATTGCCGAAAGATGTGAGTATTCAGGCAAAAACCATATTGAATACTCCTCAATAAAAATTGATGATATTTGTATCATTTCTGTTTACAATTCGCCAAATTCGCCATTCGATGTCTTAAAACGACATATTAATGAAGTTATAACTGTTTCAAAACGGCTTTGTGAAAATATAATTGTTGTTGGTGATTTCAACATAAATTTGAAGATTAAAACCAATTACAAATTTATTGAAAATGTGAAATCATTCGGACTAACTTTGATTAATAAATTAAATAAAAATTCAACTAATGCTAAAACACAGATTGACTATTGCATCACTAATGTGAATGGCTGGAAATCTGATTATTTTGAAAGTCTAACAAGTTTTCATAAACCATTGTGGATAAGAAAACATGAAATTGACTCACAACTTTACGTTGATGAAAACGAACAGATTCGTACAGATATGCCTTTGAATCTTGGAGATCTTAGCATTGATGATCGCTCTGATGTGATGGACATCGATGACCAATCTTCTTTCGAGCAAACTCATACAGATATATCGTTTAATATTAAGGATTTTCGCACCGATGATCAACCAGAGATAATGGAAATTGATGAAATGACTGATGAAGAAAATGATCAAATCCATACAGATATATCTTTTAAATTGAAAGAACTTAAAACTGGTGGCCTACGTGCTTCAACGATATTTGACGAGAAATCTCCTATCGAAACTTACGAAATTGTTGATTTAAATACGAGAAGGATTCTTGATCACTTTCTTCTTGTACTTGGTTCTAATAATACAACAGACACTGATCAGATTTCTAATTAAGCTCGAATAATCAATGATTTAATTGAAAAATCCCCATTTTTAACTGTGCACAATAAAGACCAATCTGTGCGATTAAAACCAAAAACGGAATATTCTGTTCAAGCATTTGATTCAGTTTATGCTAGAACTCGCACAACTGGAGATGGCAATGGTTTATATAGTTCTCTTTCGATAATAAATAGCGGGTCTGAAAAACTAACGCATTCGATGAGATTGTTGGCAGTCAATGCAATGATTAATAGTAGAGACTATTTCGAAGGACTTTGTAAATTATTGCACTATTCTTTTGAAGAACAGTTGAAAAGAACTGCTATGGATACAATATGGGGTGGAGAAGTTCAAATTCAAGCGCTTTCTATAGCTCTATTTCATCCTATCTATTCATACGTGCAGTTTAATAGCGATCCACAAAATAGACATTATATTTCATCGAGTATTGAATTACAGGAACTAGTTGATCGATTTGTTAAAGGGACAGCAGACGGTCATTTAAAATTCATAGGATATAAATCCGATATGAATAAATTAGGATTTTGTCTTTATTACAACGGTATTCACTATGATGCTCTTTTACCTTTTCAAGATAATCCTCAACAATTTTTACCACACTTTGACTTGACTAATATGAGTTTATAACAAGATTTCAATAAAACAACCAAGTTCTCATTGATGCGATTGAATAGAGTCTCCGGGACTAACTCCTCGCCGCGGCCTATGGGACAAAAAGAGGGCATCCGCAGGGCCTAAGGGACATTTCCTTAGTGCGCTCAAGGATGAATTATTTTAGGCAGTTTGATCTAAACCAATCTACCATCAGCTTCGTTTTTTTTGAAGTACACATAACACTCGGATTTTAATCCGAGCTTTTCGCATTTTTTTATCTTCAATTTAGAATTTCTCTAAAATATAGTCAATTATTTTCAGTAGTAAAATATTTATTTGAAATTTCAATGTAGAAAACACTTTGTTTACTTATGAGAGTAAACTGAAAGAAATGGTTTGTGAAAACTATATTCATAAGGATGAGTAATAGTTAATGTTATTAGATTGGTAGATTTTTTCAAACCTTAATAAAAATAAATGTGTTATATATATATATATATATATATTGATGATTTAATTTAATTAAATAAAAAAACATGGAGACCTATGATCGTTGTACCTGAGTCGAATATCTTAGAAGGATTAGATACATGCATTAGTGAATTAATTCGAATTATAGGCCACACGCAGTTACAAAAATCAAACAAAAAATGCATCATCTGATTTGATTTGAGATGTCATATTGGCATGAAGCCCATCAAACGTTGTCTGATCATTTTATCGGAGTCAAATTTGAAATATTAAGTGATTCCAGCCCTAGACAAACATCTTGTAAGCAAGATCTTGATCAAGATACAAGGTACAGATATGTTAACAGATCTTGGAAATTTAGGTACAAGATAATACAGTTATCTTGTACGCAAGATCTAATTACAGATCATACATAAGAATCCATAAATTCTTGGATACACAATAAAATAAAACCTGGTGCATTCTTTAAAATTTTTTCAATTTATTTTCATTTTAATTATTCCTCCCGAATAACTCCAGCAAGTCAGATGTTGGGATCTGACTGGCCATAAGTTGGTCCGATATCCTTCGGACCAATTAGGGTAGCCCTCTCTCAAATAATCGAGAAAAAATTGAGAAAAAAAAGTTTTGAAAATTTGTGTTTCGCATGTTCAATCTTGCTGTTTATATACAGCTGTGTATGCATTAACAAGAACGGTGAATGACTAGAGAGCATGTAAATACACCAGCAGTGGACGATGGGATCAATTGATCGGGAAATGGTCATATTTTCAGCAGAAACAGGCCACTCCACGTAAAGTCATACGTTTTAAGGAGAAATGGAAAAGAAAGAATATATATATATATATATAGATACATGCCGTAGGTCCACAAGAAACTGAAGTTATCCTGGTCTAACTTTCCTTTATAAATATATGCGATATTTATCAACTTGATCCCTTTAGATCCCTTTAGTCCTTGTAGCCTCTTGAATCCCTTTTTAGATCTAAAGTGATCAAAAGGGACTAAAAGAACTAAAGGTAGTAGAAGGACTAAAGGGAGTAAAGGAACGAAAGGGAGCAAAAGGGCTAAAGGGATTAAAGGAATCTAAAGGATAATGAGGGTTTATATTTGTAAAGAAAAGTTAGACCAGAATAACTTTAATTTCTTATGGACCCCTCTATTACTCCCGTATATTTTTTGTTCCCTCGCTTGTAGTATGATAAAATTTTTAAAAATTTCCACTAAACGAATTCTTATTTTCGTTTATATTTTATTCCAATTAATATCTCTCTTATAATGATTGAATTATATCTTTATTTTTATACAGAAACACAGAAAATCATCTTTGAAAACAAAGTTTAATTTCGCAAGATATAAAAAAAATACGCTGAATCTATGTTTAGTTTTGGAAGATTATTTTTAAAAATTCATCAGGTAGTTTGAAAATATGTTCAAGATTCTTCTTCTAATGATAATTAAGAATTTACTGATGTGATTATAATTTAGTTAAATATTTCTGAAACAATTAAATGCTACTTCGATTTCAAGTTGATTGAAATGATTCAAGAAATCTAAAGCAGAAAAATGTCGTCTAGGCAAAAATTATTTTCTTTTCATTCTGTTTATGTAAGATGATCAAAGATATACACGTACATAAAGATGTTTCCGTTCTAAACATATATTGAGATATTCAATACGTATGACTAGAAATAAAGAAAAGACGCCTTTCAATATTGTTTTCTATCATTTCTATAAATAAATGTAAATTCTTTGGCCCCGTTTTAACTCGTTTTTCCTCTGCCATATTACTATCTATACCACTATTTCCATTCTGTCGAAGAAAACAAAATTCGGACTGAATAATATTTCTTCACAAGCCCTGAATAAAACAACGCAACATGTAAGAAATAAAAAATACACACCATCGTTAACTTGAAGCAAACGAAAGCTTTTTTAATAGCACTCGTGACCATAATATATGCATAACGAAGTCTGCAAATGAAAGAATTTTCTTATTCCATAAAACTGTATTACTCCAATGACAGCTAATACTACAATCCTTTTCACCATGCAACACGATATACAGTACAGATTGTTCCTGATATACGGTGATATGGCTTATTCATTTCACGTTCAAAATAAACCATTCCTCGTTGGCTTTGTTAAGGGTAAAGTATTTCTGCTGGTTATTGAACCATTTGACGATTTTACGGGATGTTGTCCACCCCTCAAGATTTGAAGGTCTTGCTTACAAGATGTTGGACCAGAGAGATATATTTTTGCTTTAGATGTCATATGAATCAGAGCTGGGCAAAATACTCGAAGTACTCGTGCTTGGAAGCTTTTTTATTTTAGTGAACGTATTCTTTATAAAAAAAAAGAAACAAGAGCACACTTGATATTTTCTTTGCTGACCACAAGTTGCGGTTGACGCAAATATAATAATAGGTATTTGTACGATATAAAATCGTATGGTCGTCACCATATTTCAGTCTTTCTGTCCGCTTTCTTATTATTTTATTTACTATCCATTATAGCGCTATTCATATGATTGGTTCTTATACGTAATACGAACGCTTTGTTTTCTTTCTTTATTTTAGAATGAATAAATAAATTTAATTGTTATAAACACCTTTATTGGTTTTACTACTACGTCTCTTGCTCTTGGAAGAAATTTTTATTTATTGGTGGTGCTATCGAAGTATTATTTTCAATAACTTTCTAGTTGCAATTATGCTATGATTTTGATTTTGATCTAGTGTCTACGAAATTGATGTCGTTACCATGAGCGTGTTGTGAATAGCTTCGTATTGTTTTTTATCCTGTTCTTTTTTTATTATTGTCCTTGTATTATTATTGTCAACAACATTTTAGTTGTCATTATTATTATTTTTGTATTATTCTTAATTTATGAATTGTTAAGTCATAACTGATCTTCTTTTATTGATTTATGATGGCTACAAACTCAGTTGTATCTGAGAGCAACGCTGATTCTAATATTATTATTATTCATGATGATGCTCAATATTCATCGGTAATTAAAGAGTTTTTTTTATAAATTTATCTGTCAACACGGAAAAAAATCGGTGGTCATCCAAGTGTAAAATTTGTTCTTCATCTATTACTGATACGTATAAAACCACGTCAAATTTTTTAAANATCTTCTTTTATTGATTTATGATGGCTACAAACTCAGTTGTATCTGAGAGCAACGCTGATTCTAATATTATTATTATTCATGATGATGCTCAATATTCATCGGTAATTAAAGAGTTTTTTTATAAATTTATCTGTCAACACGGAAAAAAATCGGTGGTCATCCAAGTGTAAAATTTGTTCTTCATCTATTACTGATACGTATAAAACCACGTCAAATTTTTTAAACCATTTGAAGAACAAACACCAATCTTTGTTTGAAGAGTGGAAAAGTAATGATGATCCATCCATTAAAAGTACAAATCAACCGAAAATAAACAGTGTCTTTAGTTCTGGTGGTGAAAAATGTAAGTATGTTCGTATTTTAAAAGGCATTCTGCTTTCAGAAGGATTAGGAGAGAAGAATAAAGACGAAAGCACAAATCTTATGTTTATGCAAATGAAATATTCTATCATAGCTGAAATAAATTTTGATGTGGGAGAATTCCACATGTACAGATGCATAGTATTTCGCTTTTGTTTAATGAATGCATATTGAACACGGTATTTTATCAATTTAGATCCGACAAATAACAAATGACAAAAACAACTCACCAACAGTATTATTCAAAATCTCATAATAAATATGGGTCTTTCATTATCAATTGTTGATCATACATCATTCAACGATTTCATGAATGATGTAGATTCGAAATATAAGCCTATTCATAGGCGTGATCTTACACACTCGTTTTTACCTGCTTTACACAAAAAATGTACATCAAAATTACAAGAAATATGTGCTGAAGCAAAGCACGTCAGTCTTACACTTGATATTTGGTGTGATCGTCGTATGCGGTCTTATTTTGGTGTTACTCTACATACTATTATTGATGATAAATATAAAACATTTTTACTCTCATTTAAACGACTTGAAGGAAAACATACATCTGATAAACTTGCAGCAGAATTGGATTGAATAATTCAACTTTATAATTTAAAAGACAAAATCGTTTGATTAATAACTGATAATGCAAGCAATAATCTTGCTGCTTTCGATAACATTATTTTACCTGGATTTGATGATGACTTCGATGGAATAATAGATGATTCATCTGAAACTGAATCTGAATCTAAATCTAATGATAAAAAAACCGATGATTATGCACCTGCAGTAGGTGAAGAAAAACAATTACAAACACATGAAGCAGATGATTCAATTTATCAAACTACATTAGGTTCAGTAACCGAAGAAGAATTTCTACGTTTACCATGTTTCTGTCATTGTCTTCAGTTAGTGGTCAATGATGGAATAAAAGCTAGTGCTGCTGCAGTATCTTCTCTTCAAAAAGTGGCAAGCTTAGCTAAACTTTCTCATTCTAGTACAGTATTTTCTGAACGATTAGAAGAATTTAATTATACTATTCGAAGAGCGAATCGTACAAGATGGAATAGCCAATTTCAAACAGTAAAAAGGTGGTTGATATTCCATCGTCAATACTTAATTCAATTTTAAGTGATTTAAAAAAGAATGATCTTATTCTTAACAGTAAAGACAGAAAAGTTTTAGCAGAATTTGTATTTTTGTTTGAGTTATTTAATGAAGCTACTGTGTTAACTCAAGGTGAATCTTATGCAACTATTTGTCTTGTTGCTCCTACTGTTCTTGGTATACTTTTTGATCTTGAACGTGAACTTGGTTCTTCTACTTTGACTCTTGTTTCTTTATGTGAAGCCTTGATTGCATCAATTAAAGCTCGATTTAGTGGACTCCTTCGTTATTTTGAAATTGATGTACGTTTCAACACATATTGTAGGTCAGAACGTTTTTCTAATGTGATTTTTCTTATTTCTCCGCTTCTTGATGCGCGTTTCAAATTGTTGTGGCTCGATAGTCTTCATACTCTTGTAAAACTGTGCGTTGTTGAATAGATTCGTGATGCTTATGTTCGTTATTATTCTAAACTAAATTTTTTTGTGCTGCAGAAAGTTGGAGCCGATGTGCTGAACACAACTGAACATAATATTGATGTTATGACAAAAAACACGGATTCACTTACTAAACAAAAATGTCTTTTTCCATATTTGAAGGAAAACAAAAAAGTTTCGAATGAAGATAAATCAAGATTTTTGATTGAACTTGATGCCTATTTATGTGAAGAAAGTCGTGAACAAAATTTACTTTTTATCAAAAAACATTTGTATCCTCGCTTATATCAACTTAGTTTAAAATACTTGTCAGTGCCGGCGACATCGGCTCCCATTGAGCGAGTATTTTTGCAAAGCGGCTTTCTGATGCGTCCACATCGAGCATCATTAACTGCAAACGATGATTGTTTACTCACTTTTCTTAAATGTAATAAGTTTTTGTTATGATTTAATTACGTTGAACGCGATAATAAAATATAATACTAGTAATGTTTTGATGTTTTCCTCTTATAATATTTTATTTTTATATGTTTATATAGTACGTTATAAAACATTAAGTCTATTTTCGTAGAAACTAATTTGAAAAATTCTATTCTTACCGACACCATGGTATGGATACTCGTACTCGTACTCGTACTAGAGAAAGTCTGTACTTGCCCAGCTCTGATATGAATCAACTGTCAATCCGGAAGAACAACAGATATACTTTAAATCATGATACGATGAAAAATCTTCAAGAATAACATACACACCATCAAATCGAAACACTGAATCTTCACCTAAATGAAGATACTTCGATCATTGTTTTAATGTATTCTTTTTTATAGAGTAGTTACAGTATATTTTCTGTTTTGTTTTGTTTAGTAACTACAATTAGATTTAATCTGGTAATATATTTATTTCATTCTTTAACTATGTATTATGCATTGAAAAGCTAATACGCATTTCTCATTGATCGTGTATGTTATTCAACTAGTAGTAAGTTTTAAAGAAAAATGTTGTATTAACATCGTTTAAAATGAGTGAAATTCATCGAAAACCCTAATACTATATCTTTTCATAGATTTGCTTCCATATAATTCTGATTATAAATTTGTATCGAGTCGTTTGCAATGGTTGAAAAATCAAAATAAATTGTTTCATATGTTATAATTCAACAATTAACTATTTTATCTCAAATGAAAATGAGATTCATTCGTAATTTTAAGTAACAGCACAACATATGTAGGAAGTAGAATTTATTTTTTCGTTTGTTATTTTATTCACCACGTGACTACGTTGATTGCAAACAGTAGGACGAAAAATCAAACTAACAATGCCAATTTATTTTGTTCGTTCTTTTTCAAAAAAAAGAGACGCATGACATTTGAGTCTTCATACAGACGAAAATCAAACAGAAATTCACTTTTTAATGAAGTATCAATAGCTACAAATCTAGATGTTGTTTGTTTTCTACAAAGTGTTGCTGTTTCTGATTTAAAGGTTCAGATTTTCTTAAGAATCCATACTGTATATGAGTTTAAGTCTTTGCTTTTCTTTGCTAAAGAACATATATTCTGATCTTCACCAAGCTGTCGATGACTTGTAGGTATCTCCTAGTATCTTCGCATATT